TTATTTTGAGACAAGGTCTCACTAGATTGTGCAGGGATCTTGCTGCCTCAGCCTTCCCAGTTGCTGGGATTACACGTGTGTGCCATGGAGCCCTGCAACAAGTTATTTGGACATTCTTCTTTTTTCCTTTCCTTTCCCTTTTTCTTTTGGAGATAAGGTCTAAGTATGTTGCGCAGGCTAGTTTGGATACCCTGGCATCAAGAGATTCTTCTTCCTCAGCCTCCTGAGTAACTGGAACACAGACTGTGCCACTATACCCAGCTTCTTTCTGGCCATTTAAAAAAAATTATTTATATACATTTTTTTGGTTGTTGATGGGCCTTTTATTCATTTATTTATATGTGGTGCTGAGACTTGATCCCAGTGCCTCACACATGCTAGGCAAGCGCTCTACCGCTGAGCCACACAACCCCAGTGCCTTTTGGGCCATATTTACGTCAAGTTATTTGGTTACTTATTGAGTGACAAGAGTTCTTTATACATTCTAGGTATACAATTTTTGTTAAATATTTCTATTGTGAATATTTTCCCCCAATTTGTAGCTTGCATTTTATTTTCTTAACACTGTAACATCTTTTGAAGATACAGAGTTTCAAATTTTTATGAAATCCGATTTATCATTTTTTTTCAAAAACCCAACTTTTGGAGGCTGGGGATGTGGCTCAAGCGGTAGCGCACTCGCCTGGCATGCGTGCGGCCCGGGTTCGATCCTCAGCACCACATACAAACAAAGATGTTGTGTCAGCCGAGAACTAAAAAATAAATATTAAAAAATTCTCTCTCTCTCTCTCCCCCCCACTCTTTCTTTAAAAAAAAAAAAAAAACCCAACTTTTGGCTTTGCTAACTTTCTTTATTCTTTGTATATTTTCTATTTCTTGAACAGATATTACTCAAGATTTGAGAATTTTTTTTCATTTTTATTATGGATATGTGGTTCCAGTACCATCTGTTCAAAGACTTCTTTTACCCACTTAATTATCTGGGCACTTTCATAAAAAATCAACTGGACAGTTGAGCCTGGTGACACACACCTGTAATCCCAGCAACTCAAGAGGCTGAGGCAGGAGGATTGCACATCTGAGGCCAGTCTCAGCAACTTGGCGAGACCCTTAGCAATTCAGCTGAACCCTGTGTCAAAATAAAATGGGGTAAAGCACACTTGAGTTCACCCAATATCCTGCCCCCAAAATCATTTGGCCATCCAAATGTGAAACTACTGCTAAACTCTGTCTGTATCATTGATAAGCTTGTCAATCTTATTTCAAAGTCACACTATTCTAATTAGGGTAGCTTCATAATAAAGCTTTAAATAAATCTTACAATTTTATATTTCAAAAATTGGTTTCTTGGGGCTGGGGCTGTAGCTCAGTGGTAAAGTGCTTGCCTCACATGTGTGAGGCACTAGGTTCAATCCTTAGCATCACATAAAAATAAATAAGGATACTGTATGTTCAATAACTAAATAAATATTTTAAAAATTTGGTTTCTTGCTCTTCTAGATCCTCTGTATTTTCCAATAAAATTTTGGAATCTGCTTGTAACTTCAACAGTTGCTTGGGTTTTTCTGCCTCGCGGTTCTGGGGATCAAACCCAAGGCACTGGGAATCCTAGGCAAGCACTCTACCACTGAGCTATATCATCAGTCCTAACTGCTTGGATTTTTATTGGAATTACACTTATTAATCAATAGATCAATTTAGACATAACTGACATTGATTCTTCCAACATTAATGACATTGATTCTTCCAACCCATAAACATGGTATAATCTGCATGCATTTGGTCTTCTTTATCTTCTTTAATTTTCTCAGGCAATATTTTCAATTTTAAATATCGAGGTCTTGCCAGTTTGGGTTAAATCTGTTCCTAAGAGTCAGGCATGGTGGTCTGCGCCTGTAGTCCCAGCTGAGGCCAAGGGGGAAAAATTACTGGAGTCCAGGAGGTCAAGAGCAGCCCAGGGAACAGTGAAACTCACATCTCAAATATATATATATATATATATATATTTTTTTTTTTTTCCTAAGTATTTTTTATGTTAAAAAAATGGACTTTTAGAAATTTTATTTTTCCATTTTTCACCAGAATATAAAAATACAAATGATTGTTATATGTTGACCTTGTATTCTGTTACTGTCCTAAATCCACTTATTTTAGTAGTTTTAAGATTCCTTGAATTTTCTATGTAAACAATCATGTTGTTAGTAAATAAAGAATTTTACTTCTTCCTTTCCAATCTGCATGTCTTTTATTTCTTTGTTATGCCTCAAATCTCTCCAGGACAATGTTGAATGGAAGCACTAAGAGTACATATCTTTTCTTTTTCCCATCTTAGGGGAAAATATTAAATACAAACATTCCTTTTATATCTAGTGTTCTGAGAGTTTTTGTTAAAAATGGGTAACTATCATAATTCCAAAAGACACATTCTTTTTTTTAAGAACACCTTTCTTTTCTTTTTTTTTAAAGAGAGAGAGAGAGAGAATTTTTTAATATTTATTTTTTAGTTCTTGGCGGACACAACATCTTTGTTTGTATGTGGTGCTGAGGATCGAACCCGGGCCGCACGCATGCCAGGCGAGCGCGCTACCACTTGAGCCACATCCCCAGCCCCAAAAGACACACTCTTAAATGACATATTCCTGAATGTTGAAATCTCCAAAGATCAAAATTCCTAATCTAAATCCCCAAACCACAATCTTAAAAGATTAAAACCCCAAATGTAGAAATCCCGAAAGAAATCCAGAAGACTGAAATTCTCATGAAAACAAAACAAAACAAAAGGCTCTAGAAAAGATGTGGAAAGCCCAGTTTTGGGGAAGGGATTGGTCATGTGATATGGCTTAAGTTTAAAAATGTGTCATCTGCCAGGTGCAATGCCGCATGCCTATAATCCCAGTGGCTTGGGAGGCTGAGGCAGGAGGATTACAAATTCAAAACCAGCTTCAGCAAAAAGTGAGCCACTAAATAACTCAGTGAGATTCTGTCTCTAAATAAAATACAAAACAGGGCTGGAGATGTAGCTCAGTGTTCCAGTGTCCCCAAGTTCAATACCCGGTACCAAACAAACAAACAAACAAAATAGACTCAGCAAATTGGCAAGGTCCTCGGCAACTTAGTGAGACCCTGTCACTGAACAAAATATAAAAAAGGCTGGGGATGTGGCTCAGTGGTTAAGCACTTCTAAGTTCAATACCCAGTACAAAAAAAAAAAAAAAAAGTCATTTGTTAGGAGCAGTGGCGCATGCCTGTATCCCAGCTACTTGGAAAGCTGAGGCAAGAGGATCTTGAGTTCAAGACGAGGCTGGAAAAGACAGTGAGACTGTCTCATTAAAAAAAAGAAAAGAAAGAAAGAAAAAAGAATTACAGGAATTTTTTTAATGAGTCAAACCTGCATTTACTTGAACAAGGCACTGAAGATGGGGCTGGGATTGTGACTCAGAGGTAGAGTGCTCACCTGGCATGCATGAGGCACTGGGTTCGATCCTCAGCACTACATAAAAATAATAAAAATAAAGGTATTATATTCAACTACAACTAAAAAATAAATATTTAAAAAATATTGTGTCCACCTATAACTAAAAAATGAATATTTTAAAAAATGCAGTGAAGTTACTGACTTAAAAGTAATTATGGGGCTGGGGATGTGGCTCAAGCGGTAGCACGCTCGCCTGGTGTGCCTGCGGCCCGGGTTCGATCCTCAGCACCACATACAAACAAAGATGTTGTGTCCGCCAAAAACTAAAATAAATAAATAAATATTTACAAAAAAAAAAAAAAAAAAAGTAATTATGTTATGGTAAGATAAGACACTTAGACAACAATGTTGCTGTTGCTGTCTGATCATCAGAACTGCTTCCAACAATCTGTGGTCTGTATATAAATACATGTCAATGGGATGTCCACCTACACAGAAGCAGGGCACAGAAGGTGGCAAAATTTAATAGGGGATACACATCAAAATCACATAAAATTTTTTTTTTCAGGAAGAGCAGCACCATGTAGAAAATGAATGTGAATATATTCTCCAAGGAAAGGTATGTCAAAAACCAAAAACAGCTGGGCACGGTAGCACGTGCCTGTAATCCCAGCAGCTCAGGAGGCTGAGGCAGGAGGATCACTCAAAGCCAGCCTCAGCAAAAGTGAGGCGCTAAGTGACTCAGTGAGATACAAAATAGGGCTGGAGATGTGGCTCAGGAGTTGAGTGCCCCTGAGTTCAATCCTGGGTACCAGAAAAAAAAAAAGAAAAAAGAAAAACATCACCATGCAAGACTTCTGAAGAGTTAATTATGCACTCTGGCCAACTCATATGGACTACCTCTGTGTAACTGCCCATAATCTATCCTGTAATATTTTTTTATGTGTCAAATTTTCTTTTCTGTTTTTCTATTTTTTTTCTTTTAAAGTTTTTTCCCACTATTTAAAATTGTCAGCATTTTTTTACAGTTCTCTACTATGCATTTCATCTTTTAAATTTTTTTTATTTATTCTAATTTGTTATACGTGACAGAAGAATGCATTTCAATTCACAGTACACATATAGAGCACAATTTTTCATGTCTCTAGTATGCGATTCATCTTTACATTATTTCTAATACTAAAGATGTGTAAAAAACTTTATAAGAGTTCTAATTTGTTTAATGCATTTTTTGCAAATTTAACTCCTTGAAAGTGCACTATTTAGACAATGATTTTATGTGAAAGCAATGTGAATTTATATAAAAATGTTGAAACTTCCTCAATAAATGAAGAGATACCCTTTTTATACATCTGAATTGTGAAAGATGAAATTTCTTGAGACCTCCGTTCTTTGGGCTACTGTATATATATGCAGTGGTGACCCACTGCAGTTTTTGATTCCTCTTCAACAAAAGACTAAGGCTGTCTACATAATTTTTTGGTATTTCAGATGGTTGCAGTTATACAGCTGGGCACATTCATTTACCAACCACAGTGGTATGTGTTCACACATTTCACTTTTGACATCTTTCTTTCATTTTTTTAAAAATATGGAATGCTTCAGAATATGCATGTCATCCTTGCATAGGGGCTGTGCTGATCTTCTCTGTATTATTCCAATTTTAGTATATGTGCTGCTGAAGTGAGTACGACATGTTTCTTTATGAATACAGTTTGTCCATATTGGTTATAACCATGTGACTGCTCAGTGTACCTGATGTTTATGCTTGCAAAAATGTATACTATCATTACCTATTTTTATTGTGTAAAGCAGCCTATGAAGTACTCTACTGGTTTTTATGTTTCTTAAATCCTCTTTTTTAAAAAATATAGATAAATGTATTTTAAAGATTTTAAATTTTTTTCCAGAATTATATTTTTGAGATTTTTATCTTTTGGGATTTCAGACTTAAGTGTTTGATCTTTTAGGATTCCAACATTTGGATCATGGAGTTTGGGGTTGTAGCCCAAACTTTCCTTTACATATGAGACAGGTAATTTTCCCCTTTTATTCTGTTAATGTCCTATATTACATCCAATGATTTTAAACAGATATCCAACTTTATGTTACTGGGTTGATCATTATCTTTTCTTATTGTTGGATTTTTTTTGCTGGGTCTGGAGTTTTCCATGTAGGAAGAGTTTTAAATTACAAATTCAGCTTCTTTAGCATTACAGGGATATTCAGAGTTTATATCTACTTGTGACATTGTTGGCAAGTTGTTTTTGAATAATTTGTTCATTTTATCCAAGTTCTCTACTTTGTTGTCATAAAGTTGTTCATACTCCATTAATACTTTAGTATCTAAAAATCTATGGTGATATCACTCACTTCTGATAATTGGTAATTCATATTTTCTTTCTGTTTTTACTCAATCTTGCTAGAGATTTATCAATTTTCATTTTTTTTCCAAGAATGAACTTTTGTCTTTAACTTTCTCTTTTCCTAATTTATTTATTTATTTATTTTTGCAAGTGGTTTTAATTATTTTACCACAATTTCCCCTTGTTTTTTACTATAATTTATTCTTGAGATATCCACATAACATTCACCTTTTTTTATTACATTATTATTACTTGGACTTCTTAGCCTCCAGAACTATGAAATAAACCTCTTTCCTTTATAGGTTACTCAGTTTCCTGTGTTCTATTATTATCATTATTATTACTTTATTTTGAAACAAATTCTCACTAAGTTGCTTAGGGCCTCACTAAATTGCTGAGGCTGGCCTTGAACTTGTGATCTTCCTGACTCAGACTCCCAAATCACTGTTATTACAGGTGTGCACTACCACACCTGGCCCTCAGGTGTTCTATTATAGCAACAGAAAACAAACTAAAACATTAAGCTAATGTTCCATCTGTGCTTGAAACAAATATTCATCCTGCAGTTATTAGGTGGAGATGTTTACTGTCAATTATATCACGATAGTTGAAAATACTGTTCAGATTTTCTATATTGTACTGCTTTTTGGTCTAATTGTTGTCTCAGTTACTGATTAGAGAGGTTTTGAAATATCTGGCTACAATTGTGCATCTGTTTTTCCCTTTAGTTTGTCATTTTTTGTAGCTTTGTTATTAGGATTGTATCTTTCTGTTTAATTGACCCTTTTCTAAATGTGTCTTTATCTCTGCTAATTTTCTTTATCTTAAAGTTTACTTGGTCTGATGTTCATATAGCCAACAAGAATTCTTATATATTCTATTTGCATGATACATTATTTTACTTTCTGTGTACATTAAAAGTGTTTCTTTTAGATATATAGTGAGTTTTGATTTCTGTATGTGTGGGAGGGGTACTAGGGATTGAACCCAGGGTGTCATATGTTGTAGACAAGTATTCTACCAATGAACCAGTCCTCCAGCCTGGATCTTGACTTTTTAATACTGTCTAATAATCCCTTTTAATGGGAGTATTAAATTGTAGGCTTTATATATATATATATATATATATTTTTTTTTTTTTTAAAGCAATCCTCTTTAGGCTCACACCCAGAAGTATTGCCTTTTTTTTTTTTTAAAGGAAGTTTATTGCTTTGCTAGCAAAGGAGAAGCACAGGGGACTCCTGTCCCAGAGGCTATGATTCTGCCCATCATCAGGAAGAGGGGGCTTTTTTTTTTTTTTTAATATTTTATTATTTTTTTTTATTTCTCGGCGGACACAACATCTTTGTTTGTATGTGGTGCTGAGGATCGAACCCGGGCCGCACGCATGCCAGGCGAGCGCGCTACCGCTTGAGCCACATCCCCAGCCCAGGCTTTATATTTAAAGGAAGTATTAACATGGTTGGGTTTAAGTCTACATTAGTTTGTTGGAGTTGTACTACAGATTCTTTGTGTCCCTCAAAATCTTTTTTTTTTTTTTTAATTTATATGCAGTGCTGAGAATCAAACCTAATGCCTCACCCATATAAGGCAAGCACTCTACCACTGAGCCACACAACCCCAGCCCTGTATCCCTCAAAATTCACATGAAAGAAACTTAATCTTCAATGCAACAGTGTTGGCAGGAGGGGCCTTCAGGAGGTTTCAGGTCGAGACTGCACTCACAGATGGATTAATGCCACTATATAGAGGAGTGGATGTGAGAGTGGATTCAACACTCTTGTCCTTCTCCTCCTTTGCCACGTGACAGCATGGAGTTCATTCTCTCTTGTACTTCTTTCTACCTTCTACCATGTGCAGACACAGTAAGGTCCTCACAAGCTGTGATGGCTTGATCTTGGACTTCTTAGCCTCCAGAACTATGAAATAAATTTCTGTTCTCTGTAAATTACTATGTCTTACAGGGCACAGTGGTGTACACCTATAATTCCAGTGACTCGTGAGGCTGAGGCAGGCAGATTGCACATTAAAAGCCAGTCTTAGCAACTCTGTGAGACCCTCAGCAACTTAACAAGACCCTGTCTCAAAATAAAAATTAAAAAGGGCTTGGGATGTAGCTCAGTGGTAATGCACCACTAGGTTCAACCTCCAGTACCACTCCACAAAATTAGTTTCAGGTAAGCACAAAACAAACAAAGACAGGTTGCATAACAAAGAACCATAGATGAGTGTCTTAAACAACAGAGATTAATATTCTTACAATTCTGGAGGCTAGAAATATGAGATCTGTTTGCAGGGTTAATTCCTTTTGAGGGTCCATAAGAAAAGGATCTAGGGGCTGGGGATGTGGCTCAAGCGGTAGCGCGCTCGCCTGGCATGCGTGCGGCCCAGGTTCGATCCTCAGCACCACATACAAACAAAGATGTTGTGTCCGCTGAAAATTAAAAAATAAATATTAAAATTCTCTCTATCTCTCTCTTAAAAAAAAAAAAAGAAAGGAAAAAAAAGGATCTAATCGAAAGTTCCTTTTTTGACCTATAAATTGCCATCTTTATATCCTCTTTCCTCTGTACATGTCTGTGTTTAAATTTTCTCTTTTCTTGAGAGCATCAGTCATTTGGATTTAGGGCTCACTTTAATAAGCTAATTTTAACTTAATACCTCTGTAAAGACTCCACCTCCAAACACAGTCACATTCCAAAGTACTGAAGGTTAGTTCTTTAACATACTTTTCTGTGTGTGTGCAGGCTGAGGACTGAACCCAGGGATTTGTGCAGGCTAAGCATGCACTCCACCTCCTGCACTACACACATTCTGAGGAGAGACAAATTTACCCCATAACAAAGTCTATCAGCTTGAGTTTTTTCTTTGTCCCATATGCTTTTTTCCTCTGTTGTTTCCTGACTTTGAGAAACTGAACTATAAACAATTTGTTTACATATAATTTGTTAGTTAACATATTATAAAATTACATATTGAATATATAAAATATAGAGTATAATTAGTATTACATTTGATTTCCTCTATTTGCTTTTTGGCTATACCACTTTTTATTATAGTTGCTCTAGAAATTATGATACATATCATTAATTTGCCAGTCTAACTGCAACTTGTTGGTGTTTCACAAATATAAAAATAACATATAATTTTATTTACTCCCCATTCTGTGCTATTTTATATATTTTACTCTTCCATATATCATGAACTGTATCTTACAATAGTAGTGGTTTTGCTGTAAACAGTCATTTGCCTCCTGTGAGAAAAGAGTAGAAAATAAAACTATTCTTTTGGGGCTGGAATTGTGGCTCAGTGGTAGAGCTCTTGTCTAGCATATGAGAGGCACTGGGTTCAGTTCTCAGCACTGCATACAAATAAGTGAATAAAATAAAGGCCCATCAACATCTAAAAATTAAAAAAAAAAAACTATAATTTTTATCCAGATAGTATCATTTCTGTGGCTCTTCATTACTTCCAGTAGATCCACTTTTCAAATTTCTTTCCAGCCTAAATAACTTCCTTTGTATATCTCATAGGGTGGGTCTGCTGAAAACAAATTTTCTTTTTAAGTTTTCTGAAAATGTATTTCTCTTTATCTTGAAAAATATTTTCATTGGACATAGAATTGTAGATTGAAATTCTTTTTCTGTCAGTACTTTGAAGGTGAGATTCCACTGTTCATGGCCCTTTCTTCTGCCAAGCCTTCTCCAATCTCCTTTCAAGTCCTCTCAATGGATTTTCATTTCAGATATTGCCCTTTTCAATACTGGAATTTTTCAGTTACTGTTCATAGTTTCAGTTTCTCTTCTGAGATTCCCTATAAGACCACCCTATTTTCCTTTAAGCCCTTAAACATATTTACAGTAGCTACTTTAAACAACCTTGTCCACTAATTTCAATATCTGGGAAATCTCAGGATATATTTCCATTGATTGCTTTTTTTTTTTTTCTTGATTAAGGGTCACATTTTCCTCTTTCCTTGAATAACTAGTAATTTTATTATTATAGCTGGAGTTGTCTAGATAATACTTTCTTTTAAAGAACATTGAGTTTTGCTCTGGTAGGCAATTCATGTCTAGTAATTCTCCTTGATTTTATTTTTAAGACTTTGTCTTAAGTCTATTCAAAATAACTCTCACATTATGGAAGGGGTTAGTGACCTCTGTAAAGAGCCAATTAGTAAATGATTTTCAGTTTCTCAGGCCATATGGTCTGCCACTATAGTGTATAAGCAGTCAGACAAAATGTAAGCAAATACACAGGCCTGAATTTGGCCCATGATGAGCCATATTTGGGCCAGCTCTAGTTTGACTGCCCCTGCTCTAGTC